TGCTCTGCTGGTGCAATTCCTTTTTGGGGGGAGGTCAAATTTGGAGACGCGCCACCATCTGAATCGCAGTTGCAGGGTGTGAAAACATGCCTCCAGACTTGGTTTTTACACATGATCCACACATCCAAGTCTCCCTTGTCCAGGTGCTTTGAATCACTGAAGTAATTTTATATACTTCGATCCTCAGCGTCCGTCACGCTGCAACCCAAACGCGCTGCAGCTGCACCAGGGGAGCCACTTCTGCCGCAGAAGTGGACGCTCTTTTTTTTTCACCGGCACTGTGGCGCGGTGGCGGGGACGTGGCAGGCACAGCACATCTCACTCAGCGGCGTCGTGCCATGGCACCCCTGCGTGGGCTGGGTGAGATGAGTGACAGGCGGGTCAAATTACAGACCGGAGGGCGTGCGGATAGCTTTTTGTGAGCAACATGGATAAAATGGTTGTCTTTTTCTCGTTCCGGTTCCCCTCAAAAGGCTAGACTTACTAGTCTGGGCCCTTGCTGACAGGTTCAGGTTCCCCTCAAAAAGCGAAGGGCGACCTACTTAGTCTGGGCCCGGCCCTTGGGTGTGTGTTTTTTTGTGCTGTTGCTTTGCGCTCTTGGCAGTTCGGCCCCGATGCCTAACCACGCTAGAGAAGGACATCGATGTTGGAAGACATGGCTTGGTGGGATCTTGTTGTGTTTGTTTTCTTGGCATGTGTGTTGTTTCATGTTTGCAGGTATCGCTCATGGTTCCTCATGTATTCACATGTTTTCCCCCAAGCAGGTTTACCTGTGAGGGGTTCTTACTCCTTTTAAAGGGGTGCATGCTCGGGCCGGATGATTTTGAGTTTGTCTCCGGGCTTGTGTTCCTGGCCGCGTGATTTCACCTTGTCTCCCACTTGTCTCCCAGTAAGCTCTGGATGCTCTCAGTGCTCTGGCCGCATGATTTCAGGCTTGTCTCCCATTTGTCTCCCACTTGTCTCCCAGAAAGCTTGGCCGCATGATTTCACACTTGTCTCCCATTTGTCTCCCACTTGTCTCCGAGTAAGCTCTGGATGCTCTGAGTGCTCTGGCCGCATGATTTTATACTTGTGTCCCATTTGTCTCCCACTTGTCTCCCAGTAAGCTCTGGATGCTCTGAGTGCGCTGGCCGCATGATTTTATACTTGTCTCCCATTTGTCTCCCCCTTGTCTCCCAGTAAGCTCTGGATGCTCTCAGTACTCTGGCCGCATGATTTTATTCCCCAAACAGGTTTAGCTGTGAGGGGTTCTTACTCCTTTGAAAGGGCGGGCCTCGTGATTTTGCATGTGTCTCCTGGCTTGTGTTCCTGCCACACGAATGATGTTGCAGCTGTCTCTCAGTCTGAGCCGCATGATTTTACACTTGTCTCCCGCTTGTCACTTGTCTCCCTCGTCTTCCTGTCTCCAGTACACTCTGCTGCTCTGGCCGCGTGATTGTACACTTGTCTCCCACTTGTCTCCCTTGTCTCCCGTACTCTGGCTTGCCTTCCCCTTGTCTCTCCCTGTCTCCAATACACTCTGGGTGCTCTGGCTGCATGCTTTTGCACTTGTCTCCCACTTGTCTCTCCTTGTCTCCAATACACTCTCTGGGTGCTCTGGCTGCATGCTTTTGCGCTTGTCTCCCTCTGGGTCCCTCTGCCAGTTTACACTTCTCTCCCTGCTTGTCTCCCTTCTTGCTTCACTTGTCTCGGCCTGCTCTGGATACGCTTTTACACTTGTCTCCGCTTGCCTCTTCGCCTGCTCCCTGCTTAGACACTCTTGGCCAAGTGGCTTTACGCTGTCCCACTTGTCTCCCTGCTCGTCTCCCTTCTTGCTACACTTGTCTCCACTTGTCCCCGTGCTTGTCTCCCTCGCTTCTTCACTTGTCTCCCTTCTTGTGTCCCTGCTTGTCTCACATTTTGGTTGAAAGCTTTTAACATCTTTTAGCCAAACAATCATGATAAAGCCACATGTCAGTACAACTCAGCATATTCAGTAGATTTGCGTTCTATTTTCGTCTGAATTGTCGGTTGTGACCTTGAGCCAATTGAGCCAAGTGCTGAAACAAGCCCAGAAGGTCCGAGTTGATCACCGCGAGCTGGAACGGTTTGAGCCGTTGACGGTTTGACAGTTCTGTGGTTAACTTCATAAGCGCACAAACTGTTTGGGGTCTACGCTGGTATAATTTTATTTTCTGATTATATGGTCTTATGAACACAACCCCGTGTGTGTGTGCGTGTTCCACGTCCATTCTTTAGGGGTAGTTAGTAGTAAATCCTTTATGAATCTTTACGAGTCAAAGGCTAAGGGATTAAGTACGAGCATACCTCAGCAACACCTGTATATACCTGTAATATGAGAACATATCGAGCTGTCCCAAGGGCCACGGTCCATGATCCGCCGCTCCGCGCCTCTTCTTGCCTTTCTTGCCTCAGAAGTCCAAACAGAATCAAGATTCGGAAAGTGGGATGAACCATCCAAGCTGTTCGTGGGAAAGCACCTATCACAAAAAATCACATGATCGATGTATTAGAGCAAAACGCGCTACCAGTATGTGTTTTTGGTTGAAGAAAGCTTTATCCGATCAACCAACCCTGGAGAAGATCCATCGGTGATCCAACGTCGTTGCAACTCGTTGTCACTTGAGGACTCCACGGCCCAAGAATCTACTGATGCCTAAGGAACCGGGAAACAAAATTATCATGTTATATCCCTTAGAAGAATATTCACACAATCACCCTAAGCAAAACCAAATCAAGGCGAGGGATACTCCTAACAATCAGCATTCCCCTGTCTGGTGTGGCATGACGCTGTATGCTGTGCTATCTTGTGGGGTTGAGCGCCTTTCCGCCAAAGCTGGAGGTCACAAATGCTCAACGGTCTGCACTCCAAGATCCATTGCGTGCGGAGAGAAAAGAACAGTCACGCCAAAACACACACAGGCAAGGTAAAGGCAAGGAGCGACTAGACAGCTTGTCAACTGTTGAAACAGGCAGGTGCCAGTCAGGCTGATGAGGTCATGTTTACACACTCAACAAACAACCAGTGCCAGTCAGGTTGCCATAGTTTCGATCCTTCCCAGCTTTCTGCAGGCCCTTGGAGCCCTTAGGGCCCTTCAGGCCCTTGGCCATCTTCGGATCCTGGACGGCATCCGGGTATGAAGCAGTGAAAAGTCAAGGTTTTACTCGCTTATGACCAGGGGAGTTGGGTAGTTCATTGAGTTAAAGCGGAAGTTCTGGGAAGGATTCTCCTACTCCTCCTCAGTGGGGAAACACCTTGAGTGAACAAATGTTTGACTTTGAGAGCCAGTCTAACTTCACTCCGTGCCTCCGAGATCTTGGCCCCTGAACCTGCTCCAACAGCTAGGTAATGATTTCAATTGACCCAGCTTGGTGGCTCAACCCGTCTTGACTTCTGTGCGCCTTTTGCCCACCTGGTCAACTTGAGAGTATCCTTAGAGTACTCTCTACAAAAAGCAGTGGTGGAAGTGAGAGCCCTTGTGAACTCCTGGTCTACCCCCGCATCTGTCCGATGAAGGCCATTCTTTTCCGCACAGCAGGTGTGGTCTTCCTTGTTTCCGTGCTTCATTTCTTGCAGCAAAGCATTCTTTGCATCAGAATAGCGCGTGGTCAAGAACTATTAGCAACTCGATTCGTGCCAAAAAACCATGAAAAGGGTCGCTGGGAGTATCCGGATCCGTGTTGATTCCTTATCCATGATAGACTATATATACCAGCAACAGTTGGCGATGATGGTTACATCGGTTGCAGGCCTTTCTCAAAAACAGTTATCTAATCTTTACTGATCGCTACACTGATTTACTGTTACACCCCCTGCCCAAGAGCCCATGTTCTGTTGCCCAGCTCTCCTGTGGCGCTTCCTCTTTGGATTTTCCCTTCAGGTTGGACTTCTTCACACGTTTCTTGCCTCGGCTTCAACACGGAGAAAGGTGTGAACAACACAGCCAAGCTGGATGACTGTCAGAAGTCCTGACCTTTTTCCCAACAAAGACAGGTCCAAGAAATCCCGGGCTCCACCTAACTCTATCCGTTTCATCTGTCCTTGTGTGACGAAAGTGTCCCACTGAGCACCTCGCCACCCTTCGTGGCCGCCTTCGTGGCACCACCCGCGGCCGCGGGCGCCACCCGGTCGTCGTCCAGGAGGTTCTTGCCACCGAGGCCGCCCAACTGCCGCGCCAGTCCCTTGAGACGCTGCTGGTGTTTGAGCTCCTCAGGCGTCTCCTGGGAACAAAAACGGCGGAGAGTGGAGAGTGGGGCAGCGATGGAAGCGTGTTCAGTGTGGGAGATGGGTGGAAGTACTTGAAACCTCACGAGACCGTACCTGGACCCGGTCGTGGGCCGTCGCTCGGTCGCTCGGAGTGGCCACCCATCGGATGAACACCGCGAAACATCCCAAGACAGGTTAAGTGACCTGAACTAGGATGTTTCGCGGATAGTCCCTCTGCCAAGGGACCTTCAACCTTCTGCCAAGGGATAGGTCATAAGACAGGTTAAGTATCCTATTGGGGTACCTATGGGATAGTCGAACTAGGGTCCTTCAACCTCTGTTGGTCCCTCTGCCAAGGATCGGGACGAGCATAAACCACATCGGTGCGGAGCAGGTACCTCGGCTCGCCGCGCTCGGCTCGCCCCAAAGGGGGAAAGTGATCTGAAGGGCGACCTGTCAACGACCGATGGACCGGTCAATTTGACCATGAAACCCTAGGATCATTCCCATGGTTAACGAATGATCTTTACGAACCATTCTTTTACGAACCGGATGTTTTTAACACTGTAATCCACCAGCCTCAACCTGGCTTCTTAATGGGTCCTGGGTCGGCGAACGGGAAGACTTGCTCCAAGTCTTCCAGGGTGTAAAACATACCAGGACCTTCCCTAGGGGTGTTGAATGGTGACTGGTGACCGAAAAAAAGCCGTGTAGGGTTGTCCAGCCAGGTAACCCTTTATTTGGAAGCAGCTGGTACCTGCAAATGCTTCCCATGTCTTCTCCCTATCTCAGTTCAGAATGCGCGTTTCCCCCCCTTCCATCCAGGCTGCTTCGTCCCCTTGGTCACCGCCGAGCCCTCATGTAAGAGAGGCGTCCGACAATCGCCATGGGGGAAGACGCTGGCGGAGCCAATACGCGGGCGAATGGGCCTGGAGCCAGGGGAAAGGTCATGAGGTGAGCGAAGTCTGAGGTTTTACGTCAGTGACCTGATTCATGGTCAGCTTGGGGTAGATGGACTGATAGAACCATCAGGGTTCTGAAGAACCTCAGGTGTTGGGCGTCTGGGGATGATGAATGATGTCTACTTCCCAGGTCCGCTCACACGGACGGTCCGACAGCTCAAATTGAAACCTCAGAGATTCAAGACCCATCCGCCAGTTCCACCAAACCCAGCCGGCTGAAGACCTCATTTAACCAGTGGTTTATCAAACACAAAAAGTGCTACTCAATGAGGTCAGGACCGGGAAAGTGCACCGACTCGAGTCAGAATGGACCAGTGAAGGACATCTGCCCACTGTGGGCCCTTTGAAACACCCCAAGCTTTAGAGACACCTGGCCACCTGGGCACCTGGTCAGATGCTGGCTGCCCCCCTGGCCTGGAGTCCAACGTGCCTTCCTCGTCCGGCTTAGGAGTGAAGAAGGTGGTGCAACCGCCTTCGAAGTCGTCGTTCCTGAAGTCGCTCGGTCTTGGGAGAATTCCGGTCCTTCTTCCTTGGGAAACCCCTGGATTGGTTGAAGGGAACATCTACAGGCAAACATCAGGAAACCATGCTTTTTCACCCCCGAGAGCTAGGGGTTTCCTGCGAATTTTGCCTTAAACTTAAACCAATTCTGAGATGTAAGGGGCTGGGGCTGGGAGGGAGGAAATTCTAGGTCTTTGACACCGAACTTACAATTGTTTTTATCCAAACAACTGCATGGCACCGGCCCATTTACCGACCTTGGGGTGGTTGAAAAACATGGCCGATGGGATGGCATATTCGCTCCATACCATGGATGGTCGGGGCCGGGGTCGAGCACTGGTCTGACCCAAGACTTAGGACCCGGAACACCTGGGGTACCCAACTGGGATAGTCCAGCAGTCGGGTCCTGACCCACCGAACAGTTGGAAGACAAGAATCAAGTAAATAATGAAGGTCAACTTGGACCTTGTGCCACCTCCGTGTGCATCGTAGACATAGCTCTCCTGGCCACCCTCGAAGCTGATACCACTCGCAGGCCAAGCACCATCCAAATGTTTCCGGTACCTGTCTGGCGGGGGCTAAGGTCAGGATGCTTCTCATGTCATTGGCTATACATATTATATAAACTAACTTATAAACATATTATAGACTATATATATAACAACTATAGTACTTCTACATTTGGTGTATCCTAATCCCTGTAGCAATGGATGATGATGGCTAGGTTGCAGGCCTTCCTCTAAAATAATGATGCTCTTGTTTGCCGACTGTTGCAGGTTTCCTAGGACACCCCAAACTGATATAGTCTGCACCAATGTTCCGTAGCCACCCCACCAGTGGACTGCACATGGATGTGCATGGTTCATTTATTCATCTCAAAACATGACAGGGCAGACTTCCTCTGCGAGGGTTTCTTTGATTCACGCGAGCCGGAGAAATTGACATGTCATGAAGGAGGGCCATCCCCTTTTCATCCTTTTACCTCCTTGTTCGACAATGCGTTTGCTTTCACGCATGCCGGATACCCTGTAGAAAAATCAGTCATACCCGCCAAACGCAAAAAAGAGACCGGTCGACGGTCGATCCAAAAAACACCTCAATCTGAGAAACCCCTCTCAATGAAATTGGTTTAAGGGAAGATTTGCGGGAAACCCTTTTTTTCATCACCACAACAACTATGGCTTCCCAGGCTTTCCCGTAGATCTTCCCTGAAACCAAAATCTGGAACGCTTGGCTTCACCACCAACTTGCGCCACTCTACGCTGCTGACCAGTGGCAGGTTCCCGGACAAATAGCGGTAGAAACGCCAGCGGCGGTTGATGCCCAAGAGCTTCTCCCCATGGATCTCGGTCGGCAGCAACGGCATCACACGCTCAAACCTGAGCTTAAGCGAGCCGAGAGAAAGGTGTCTTTTTGGGAATGGATCAGCGTGCAAGAACCAGTGCTCGTTTGGATTATGATGATTATGGTGCTGTCTTAAAGGGGCTCTTCACTGAAAGGGCTTCTGTGGAGTGATATCTTTTATTGGACACACGGGTTGATGCGGCCCCTTGCCCCTCACCTCATGGTCACGAACCGCCACCAGGGCACAGGGATTTGTTCTGCACATCATTGGCCATGAGGACCACATTGTGCGCTCGCTCGTCCAACTGAGATGAGATCGGCACATCTGGACGATATCCTCGACAGCTTCGGCCCAGGAGCAAAGGGGGAGCACGGGGGTGAGGTGAAACCGGTGCACCAACTCCTCCCTGGCGCATGGGAAAAGAGAAACGATGAGAATCTGAAAATTAATGAGAAATCAAACTTCAGTAAGTTGGCCATTCAGGATCTCAACAAGTGGCCGCTCAATTGCGGGCAACATCAGCTTTCCCAAGACTGCGTCAAAACACACAAGTTTAGCGTCCTCAATTGAAAGCTACACTGGCGTTCGATGCGGGAAAGAAATGGACAGAATGCAGAAGAGAATGCATCGAGTCATCCAGAAAGTGGTACGGTATGTACGAACCATTGTTCCCCCCTGCAGACTAACATGGATCCTTTAAACACATTCCTGACCCTAGTGGTCTTGAGGATCCATGCTAACCTGCAGGAGGGTAGCCTCTTTCCCCCTATCATGGTGAGATGTTATGACACTTATCCCCCCTTATCAGGTCTCTCAGAAGTCCCCACGCTACAATTGGTAACACCTATACGCGGAAGATTTAACATGTAATATGGTTTACCTGCAATGTCCGTTCCGCTTAGTCAGATATGGTCATCAAAGCAAGGCGCTAACATCCTCCTCCTCCTAGTTCAAGAATATAAATGTATACTGTATATAATCAGGGCGCCTCTGAACGTGACATCTCATCGCCTCACTACCTCCCAGGAGCTCGTTCAACCTGCGGAATCCCAGAGCCCCCACCCTGTTCATCCGGTCAAGTCTCCAATCTCTTCGGTGGCGCGTCTGAGCTCATCACACCTTGGACTTGCTGCGCAAGAAAGGGACCAAAGTCTTTGCCTGAACGCAAGAAAGGAACAAAAGACACGATATAGCTGTAGGGAACACAGTATACCCTAGAAATCCAAAGACTATATTTTGACCGGCTGGCGTAAAGGAAGTTTCCTTTCAGTTCCCTTAAACACCATTCGTTTTATAATCTTTGACTCCCAGGGTATATATATATATACAGTATATACACATAAACATGCACAACATCTGTGCCCGACATCTGTGCCCAACATCTGGAAGGGGAGGAATAAATCCACTGTGAGGAAATATATAAAAAACGTTCAAAACATCGTCCTGATTCCAAACCAAGACCACTCTTGAGGGCTCAGCACGTCCGTCAGCACGAAGCCACCCTCCACGCCGGGCATCGCAAAGCGCTGTGTCGGGCGCGGTGGAGGGCTTTGTAGCGGGAGCAGCGATGGAGGACAGGTGTAAATGTCCTCGTGGCTTCACCAATGCCGCGGTCAAAGGAGGAGGTCGAGTTGAGGACAGAAGTACCGCTTTAAATACCGAGATGGTTGGGTAAACGTAACTAGCACCAGCTGCGGAGCTGAGACAATTTGTTATATGTAACGAAGGGATGATCAATAGGGCTCCAAGTACCTCCTTACAAGGTGTCTGGGGATGTTTGGGGTGGGTGTCAGGAGGGTCCAGTCATACCTTCTGAGGAGGTACGACTGGAGCCCTAGGGGATGTGTATATGGTTTGTGGATGTTTGTCGGCAAAGGTTGTGTTTGAAATGCTTTACATCAGCTCTTCCAGAGAAAAGCCGCGGGCATTAGTATTAGGCATAATAATAAGCAACAATTTCCAAAGTTTTTGGGGGCAAACCACAGGTGCAAAACCTATACGCCCTTCAGCAGTTAGCATGGATAGCACTTTGAACACAATAACATCAAGCGAAACAATCTTCCTCCTGCAACTTGCCCTGCAAAACCATTGGTTTGGCCTTCTTTTCTTGGCTTCTAGCCTGCGCCTGCAGTGGAAATTCGTTCACAAAACCCAAGCGTCCAAGTCGTAGTGGTTCGGCGGCAGTCGATCTGCTGCCTTCTCGTGCGCCAGAACGCGCCAGGAAGCCACGCCAAGGTGTGTGGGCGGCCCGGCCCCTTTCCGCAGGCTGATGAGAGACAGGAGCCTGAACTTTCCAGGCTCAAGAGCTTGGGCCCATGGGCCCCATGGGCCTACCTTGTAGAGTAAAGATCTGGTATCAGATTGTTGGTATTTGTGAGTCTCACAGTGCAGGCTGATAGTAAAGTTTGAGCTGACCCTGGCTCCAAGAAAGCTCACATAACAACATAACCTTCCACCCAAACGCTCCAAACGACCCTTGGTCCCTCAAAACCTAGGGATTTGAGACCCCAGACCCCTCCATATGAGGGTCCGACCCCTCCATATGAGGGCCCATGAGCGTCTGGGCAGAACTTTTGCTTTGCTGCTGTTCATTCCACTAGGGATCAACATGGAACAAATTGAACAACACATGCCTGCTCCACTTAGACTTCAATTCATGGCATTGACAGCGCTGTGTTGCATGTCTTCCCGGATTCCGGGGTGCGGTCACATGAAGATATTCCATTCAAGAGGCTTGCTGGCCACCGACTTCCCAGAGACCGAGACCGTCTTCTTCTCCTCTTCCCGCTGGCCTGGTTCGATCAAGCCCCACTGGCCTCCACCGAAAACAACACCCCCACCTCCCTGGGAGTTCCGCGACTATGCACAAAAAGGATCAACAAGGATGAAAGGATATCAAAGGCCTCAGTCTTGCCTTTCGCGCAGCGAGACATCATCTTAACAGAACGAATTAAAGGACAACAAAAACACAACTTTTAAGGCTGTCTCAACAAACTTTCACCTCTCCAAAACCCTCCAGCACAACCCCCTAATCCCACTCCAAGTTCATCCAACCCTCATCCAACCTTTCCAAATCCACCCTCGTCATATTCCATGAAGACCTGCCCATCCATCGCTTCATTGAGAAACTCCCTGCTGGTCCATACCAAAACCACCTATACAACATGTCTACAATATTACGCCCTGGGCGCATACAACACGCACCCACGCGCACATCCTCCGCGCAACCCAAAACCCGGCGCAAACGCCCCAAATCCACCTCGCGCCTGCATCGCCCACCTCCGGCGCCCAGGGATCCAACTTCTCCAGCCTTCCCACCTCGCCCCGTGCGCCGCGGCCGAGCGCGACGGGCGGCGCGTCCGGCGCGTACGCGCCGAAGCCGGCGGCGAGGCGCATCACGGCGTCGAGCATCAAGAGCCTCCGGGGGGTGACGTGCATCGGACGGAGTGCCGGGTGCCTGAGGGGTGTCTGACTGCGTGGGCGAAGTAGGGTCGGTGGCCGGCTGGTACCACGTGGCATCAGGTGGTAGTCACTGAAAAGAAGAGGAGGACTTGCTTTGAAGGGGAGCTGGGAATCTGGGAAGTCTTCCATGGCCAATCCAACGAGATGTAAAGAATTACTTCGCACTCGCCATGACCCACAGGCCACAGAACGGCAGGAGCACATGCAAGTTTTCTACATCCACCCTCACCTATTGCAGCTCCATCCTCCCAAGTCCAAACCTACAAGCATATACCCGCATAGCATAATATAGCATAGCAAATCATAGCTACACTCCCTGAAATCATCATAGATTCAGATGTGAAGTGAGAACCAGCCCTCTTTTGGTAGTCGCAGTACTAGGCGCCAAAACTAGCGCCGGGTGACTCCTCTGCATCCCCTTCGGCGACGTCCAACTCGCGCACCCAGCGCTGGTAGGCGCCCAGCTTGGGCCGCTTCTCCGCCGGCTGCTGCCGCAACTCACGCAGCACCCCTGAGTGCGGAGGTGGGTCCGAGGAGGGTTTGAGGAGGGTTTGAGGATGTTTGAGGTCTCAGTGCTCGTGGTTTTGGGAACAAATTCTGGGATAGGGTGGTCTAAATCATGCTAATTAGGTCTCAAGTGATGTCATGGTAGGGTTTGGTTAGGCTGATGTCATCGTGGTTTTACGATGAATGTTTGGTGCCTTCACTAGCTAGTGACCCCCGGCCCCCACACCAGGCCCTGCCGCCACGAGGCGCAAGGCCTCTGGCCACCGGGAACGCTGTCCCAACATCGAGGTGATCCTGCCGGAAAAGGAACATCATCCACACCCGGTTAGCCGGCCAAGGAACACCCTCAAGAGAACTTGCAGGAACCTGGGGACGGCTTCCTGGAATGCAAAAAACAAGAGTTCAACCTATTGCTCATGTGTTTGCTCTTTCTGCAGCCGGTCCATGACCTGGAAGAAGAGATCCTTTCTTGAAGCTCCATGTACACTTTGTCTCACCAGCCTCAGTGTGGTTCTTGACCTATATTTGCCAGTTTCTGGATAAGTGACCGTGGCATCTCCCACGTCCTGAACGCAGGAGACGCCTTCTCCTCACGCAAATGCGCCTCCACCAGGGGATGCAGCGCAGCTCGCAAGGCCTTGCAGCCCGGAGAGAGCAAGTCCTCCACGAGCGGCGGAGAGTCTCACGGTGCGCTTCGGGGCATCGGCGTGCTCGCCGATTTGGGGCCAGCGGCGAGTGCGATTGGCGCAAATGGGAGATGGCCAACAGAGGTGGGTCAGAACCCGAACTAGGCTATCCTATGGGTCCCCCAGGTGACGGGTCCTAGTTACGGTGCTTCAACCTCTGCTGGGGCGAGAGGGGATTCGAGATGATTCGAGACTGATCTGCCACCCTCTGCTGTTGCACATGTGGTTCTCAAGTGCAAACACAAAGTGGTCCACAAGCATCAAGATGGACACAATTCCCGCAGTCGGCTGCCACACTGCCCTCCAAGTGATGTGGCCTCCAAACAAAATAGGAGTACCATTCCGCTTTTGGATTGTTTAATTGGTCGAGGTTTCCCCACCATAGCCCCCAGTCCAGCCCAAGCAAGCAGGAAGTCCAGATGAAGCCAAAACATGCTAAAGCCTCCACCCGCTCAACCAGCTCCATCTCGCTTCACCGGCTGTTTTCTCTGAGAAAACAAGGCGGGCTCCTCCGGCTGCTGCGCCAAGCGCCGGAAGGTCTCCAACGCTGCGCCCAGCTCCGCGTCTGTAGGAGTGGACGTGTCGGTCGGGTGGAGGAGATCTTCGGCGGGGCGCTTCTTGGCCTGGCGGCCGGAGGGTCATCTGGGAGGGTCTGAGAAGGGTCGTTCTAGGGGGTGGTGGATCTATATCCCGTTAGTTATATCCCTATATATACAAATGCAGTTGACCCAGGTCCAAACCTGGTCTGACTGACCTCCTTAGAGTAGTATTTTTATGACCAACTCCCGTCATTCAGTGAGGTCTTCGACTAGTGTAGAGTTGGATGATTCTTGGTCCCGACTGGTCTCCCCTGGGCCGTTCCAATAGACCATTCCTTCGCCGCTTTCGCCCGTCAAAGGTGTGAGACCACCCGACAGCCCCGCGGCCCAAATCTGGGGAGAATCAAACACCGAACCAACAGAGGTTGAAGGACCCGAACTAGCCTATCCCATAGGTACCCAGTTCAGGTCACTGAACCTCTCTTGGTTCTCATCGTTTCATGGCTCCAGTTGACAGCTTATATCTCTTAGACACTTGGGTCCTCAAACTATCGGTCTGCTTAGATGCACAGCATCACAAAGCTGGAGACAACGACACGTCTGCCTTAGCCTTCGCAAGCCAACATGTAACATGCACCCTCATGGAGATATGTCATCAAGTTAATGTCAACAGGAAAAGCTTATAAAAACAAGTCAATAGATTGGCTCCCCGCACCTGCGCTTTGCCCTTGACATTGCCATTCTTCACGCCGCTCTCGGCCGAGTCCAAGGCATACTTGGCGGCGCGCAGAAGGACCAAAGGCTTCAAGGCTTCGAGGAGTTCGCCTGCGGAATCAGCCCGTTCAACCCAGTGACCTTAAATAGGACCCGGAAAACCTGGGGTACCCTGGCCTGGGACAGTCGAACTAGGGTTCTTCGACCTCTGTTGGTCAGTTATGGTCAGTTGGGCACAAGCATCCTGTAAGTGTAGTGGAAGTTGGTGCTCAAGATCACCTCCCAGGAGGTAGCGCCCATCCCCATCCCCAAGTTGGCGCCCCAGATCGACCGGAGCAGAAAGAAACCACAAAAACACTCCACCCACGACCCACTGACTGCAGGAGTTCCGATCTCCCGCCCACACCTCGATCCTTCGCGGCACCCGCCGCGCACCACTGCACCACCTTCACCGCCGCGGACGTCGGCGCCGCGCTCGGCGCCGCGGACGTCGGCGCGGGCGGTAGGGCGCCCGCGGTGGTGCGGCGCTTCTTCTTCGCCATGGGAGGTGAGGTGGAAAGACGTGAGGTTGGAAGGTCAGTGCTGCCCTTTTGCTTTGAATCAATCCCAGCTACAAAAATCCCAGGTGGCGATGAAGTGGTGCTTCATATTGGCTTATGATGTCTCAGCAAAGTGGTCCCATCTGGCATTTCAATCCTTGAAAGGATTGCTGGTCCACTTCACGCAGGAGTTGATGGTGCTTGTGTTGGAGGTGCGGCATGCCCAAACATCTCTCGAAAAATGGTGGCTGCCCGGTCTGCCCGCAATGGGTCTTCTGCCACTCTTTTCTCAAGCCAAACATCAGCGGACGATGCTCACAGGTCTGACTGTAAATAGAAGCTCTGAGATGAACCTGTTCTGCAGAAGAACAAGCGGTGATTCGATCTGTGCAAGGCATTCAAGGATGGAGAACCAAAAGGATTATAACTTATATCACGTGTCACTTATGATGATGTTCAAAACAATTATCAAAAATCAAAATAAACCTCAAACATCCTCCAAAAGAAACAGCATGAAACAACATCTTCCAGAACGGCAGTGGATGGAAAATGAACCCATCTTCGGAGTGGGTGGGATGTGTGGGTAGTTGTGGGTGCGCTGGAAGCTGTGCTTGGGGCTGTGTAGTTCATGGCGACCGGACTTGGTTCCCCTAGTCAGTGTGGAAGGGGTTGGCGGTTGGCCGTTGGCCTTGGTGGTCTTCTTGGTTGGCCTTGGTTGGCCTTGGTGGTCTTTTCAGTTTGAATCCAATGAAGTGATTGATCACTGAATCTAATGCCTTGTCTGATGTTGCTCGCGGTGTTCGTCGAATGTTGCCGAGCACGACCTGGTTGTTTCCTCAATGAGCCTTAATTAAGGTCTTAAGTTGCCTTCGCAGTTTCAATTGAATTTGTACATTATATATGTTGTATATAACTCTTCTTGTAGCGTCCCTAAAGCTTGTGAACATTCAATTTAAAAAGTCCACGCCTCGCGTCCAAACTGGCCTGAGTCAACCAGGTCAAGCCAGCCGCTTGGAGACGCTCTCGTCTGGGTTCCTGCGACCTCGGATCTGATGTCAAACCACCGTCCTCCTCATAAGAACGAACACGGAGGAGAACTCCAATGTTTATTAAATGTTCGTCTTGTGTGATGCTGTGTGTTCCTCCAGCGATGGTGGAGTTTTTCCAAAGACCTGAATTAAAAAAGCTGTCAACGCAAAAGCAATAGTCCACGTCAGCCGTGATCACACCAAGCACCTAACTGTTGAAGCCTTTAGACAGACTTCATCAACTCTCCATGTGACTTGACATCCCAACAAAGGTTGAAGGACCCTAGTTCGACTATCCCATAACTACCCCAGGTGACGGGTCCTATTTACGGTCACTGGCTACCTCTCTTGGTCAGTCAAGAGACCGACTATAGCGGTGGTTCACCCGGCGAAGTCCAAAGACCCCAAGACCTTTGAACCCAAAGACCCTGTGAAGGCAAGAATCGGACGTTCATGAAGAGGGCAACGTCCGCCATAGGACGTGCCACCGGATGCCGCCAGCTCAGCACAACATGTAGATCTTCTTAGCTGCATGCCTCATGCCACCAAATTCATCCAAATTCCATCACTCCACCACCCGAAGCTACGGGTACAGAGTGTCTCTAAGAATCAAAGGTCACTGGTGGGATTTCTGTGCCAATTTCTCGCGCTGTCTCCGGTCACCTCCCGAACGTGGAGCAAGGAAGGCCATCGGCCATCAAGGTCGACAGAACCTCATCAAACACCAGGCCGTTCGGATGCCCGAGCACGGCTTATGGCATTGCCATGCCCCTGCACCATCGAAATATCCACACGCCCATCAAATCAGGCATGTCCAAAGCTTCGGACTTCCAACCCGGTGATTCATTCCCAGATCGGAGCACGCGAACCGGCGGGATCGCGACCCACTCCTTCCCCGTCGCGCGCCTCCGCGGCGCAGTGTGTGGCGTCCCCGCGGTGCAGTGTGTGGCGCCTTGGATGGGGTTGAGCTTCGGGGGCAGCACATCTGAACCGCATCAGCTTGGATTTTGGGGCAGCACATCGCCCACCGAGGCCTTTATCCCCAACAACCGTGTTTGAGGTCTTGGAACGCTAGGGTGTGGAAAGCCTAAAAGCCCAAAAGATTCTGGTCATTATAAAAGGCCGTAAGAAGCCCTTAAAAAACTCTCACACAAGTCATGCTAAGTTCCTTGTCTTTCCCTTCTTCACTGCTTGCGGTTCCTTTTCTGTGCCGCATGCCAAGCCTGTCAGCCGGCTTCGCTGTTAAAGCACCTTCGATGACTTCAACGGCTTTATAACATGCTGCCCACAATGGGCTTGACTTGCAGCTTCGCAAGAACATGAAGTGGTAGCGGCTGCCTGATTCAACAGCCGGCCGGACCTAGTACAAAATCCGCACTGTTCCGCCCTGTTCCCTACTACAAAATCCGGGTTTTCAAAATCCTTAGCTTTCCCATGCAGCTTCCAAATCACTGGGCTCACCACAAGGAGGGCAAACCATTCTCTTTCACCAACTGCTTGGCCTCCTTCTCGGTCACCTCCTTCACCACCGCTCCGTTCTGGAGCTTTTGGTAGCCACCTCCTGCCAGGCGTCTCACTCCGACGTCCTTGGGCCGACTCTCTTCGGCGAGTTGCGCATCCACATCTCCGTTGACGTAGCAATAGAGGCCTCTCCCATGCCGCTGGTCGTGGGCAAATTCCCCCTCATAGGAGTCGCCGTTGGCGAAGCGATGCAGCCCGCTGCCATGTTGTTGGTTGTTCGCCCATTCCCCCTCATAGGTGTGGCCATTTCCTCCGCGGATCACCCCACTTCCGTGGCGCTGATCGTTCACCCATTGGCCGTCATAGCTGGTACCATCAGGTTCGGTCATCTTGCCTCGGCCATGCTTGAGGTTCTCCTCAAAGTCGCCGACGTAGATGCCCCCCGTCGGCGTAGGTGGATCTGGCTTTGCCATGGACCAGGCCATCTTTCATGGGGAGTTCGGTGCCCTCGAGTGGCTCCAGCAGCTCGTTCGCCATCTCCAAGTCCTCCTTCATCTTTGTGGACCACTGGGCTTGGGCCTTCTCCATGGCTACCTCGAAGACATGTGTCCAATACGGACTGTCAAAGTGATCAGGAGTTCGTTGGAAATATTCGAGGTCGTTGCAGGCCAGCACGTAGATGGCGATCCTGGGGACTCCGAGCCACATTGACATATCCTGCTCCGCCACCTGCATGTGGGTCTTCTCGCGGTTGGCTCCTTGTTGGATCTGCAGGACAAACCCTTTGGTCTCCTTCACCCGGGGGGTCGATTTTAGGCATTTGGGCATCGTTCTTACTAGAACAGGACGTGGCAGCTCTTTTCTGGCCACGTGGGCTGCCCACCCTCGAATGTGGCAGGGCCCAGAAGCATCAGTGGTCAAACAGGCATGGTTTTCAAACAAAAGCTCAACAATGAACTGCAAATTCTGCGTCTTATGTGGCAAAGGCCACCAAGCCTGCACTATTCCAAACATGAAGTACCTTCACTCTCTTACCCTCTCTCTCTCTCTCTATTGGGTTGTTGCCTCTTCCGGCACCAAGGACGCATTGACGTACAGGTTCTGGGCATATGTGTTTCATGTTTAGTGCTCACGAGTTTCGTTTTT